CCGCAATCCAGCCCCATCGGGCGGCGGCGGCCAGCGGCGGTGGGAGCGGCCGACGAGAAACAGGTTTCTCGTCGGGCTCCTGGATGCTGATTTGAACCCTCCTGATGGGCCGTTTTGGGGCCTCTTAGGGCCTCGTTTGGTCTTCTTGGGGGCCTCATGGGGCTTCCTGAATGTTTCTCGAGGCCTCCCGGGACCTTCTTGAGGCGGAATGCCCCAGGAGCCCGCAGGATGGATCCGTTGGAAGCATGTCACCGGTGCTGCGCGGTCCGAGTGGCTTCACAATCCTTTGTGTTCAACGTATGTGCCTATAGATTGGTCGTCTCCTGGGGCTTCCCCGGGCCTCCTGGGATTTCCTGGGGCCTCCTGGAGCTTCCTGCGGCTGTCTGGGGCTTTGTGGATTCTCCTGGAGCCTCCTGGGGCTCCCCGGGGCTTCTTGGGACCTCCTGGGGTTGTTTTGGCCCCTCCCGGTGCCTCCTGGAGCTGTCTTGGCCCTCTCCTGGGGCGCGAATCCTTTCTGTTAAACGTATGTGCCGATAGATTGGCCGTTTCTTGGGGCACGAATCCATTGTGTTTCACGTATGTGCTTATAGATTGGCCTAATCTTTGGGCACGAATGTTTAGTCTCTTACGTGCGTGCTTATATAGATTGGCCGTATCATGGAGCGCGGATCCTTAGCGTGTTACGTGATGCCTAAAGATTTGCCTTTTGGGGGGCGCGAATCCTTTGTGTTTTGCACATGTGCGTATAGGTTGGCCCTCTCCTGGGGCACGAGTCCTTTGTATGTTCACGCGTATGCCTATAAACCGGCCCTTTCCAGGGGCACGAATCTTTTGTGTTTTAATCATTTGCTTACAGATGTGCCGTCCCCTGGGGCCCGAACCCTGCGTGTTTTACGTATCTGCCTGTTGAGTTGCCCTCTCCTGGGGCACGAACCCTTCGTACTTTACGTATGTGACTATAGATTCGCCCTCTCCTGGAGCACGAATTATTCGCGTCTTACGTGTGTGCAAACACGACGAAGACGAAAACGACGACGACGCGACGACGACGACGGCGACAATAACGACGGCAACGACGACGAGGACGACGACGACGCGAAGTCGACGACGACGACGACATCGACGGCGACGGCGACGACGACGACAACGCAGTGCAGATGCCCCATGGGGGGGGGCGGCAACGACGACAAGACGACAAGACGACGACGACAACGCAGTGTATATGCCCCATGGGGGGGGGCGGCAACGACGACGACGACGACGGCGACGGCGACGACGGACTAGATGCCCCATGGGCGCTGCACAAGCCCGCTGCAGTCGACGACGACGACGACGACGACGAGTCAAATCAGCCTGAGACGGGGAGAAGTTCCGCCTCGGATGTAGACGATCCCTATTACAAATAATTCTATACGAAAGGCAATCGTTTTGATGCTACCGCGCAGGAAGGTACACGATCCCCTCGGCGGTGCCCGCGACGACCCCCTGGCGCGCGTGACTAAAAATGGTTTCGCGCCCCGCGAGGTCTATTCATCAGCCCCGGGGGGGGTCCATCATTTGTCAAACACAAGCTGACATAAGCACAGAAAATGTTGTCAACACGCCCTACAAAAATGAAACACGGGCTGCGCGCGTAAACAGCGAACCCCCCGAAGGCACAAGCCTTGCGAAATCTGACTTGGTGCTCGAATAATCCACTGTCGGCTGAACCAGAGATGGCGCCGCCCCTAAAATAACAAGGACCTGTACCCCTCGACCCTCCACACTCCTTCTTCCCTCGTTCTTTTCTCCTCCCTCCCACGTACCCAATCTCCCCTCCCTCCCGCTTGACCGTTTCTCCATCCCCACCTCCTCGGCCACCGTACCCGAACAGATGCATTCCCGCGGGCCCCAGCTAACGATACCGCGGATAATGCTACGTTCTGTAAGGGATGTATCGATCAAATCGTATCCGCACAACTGTCGTATCCGCAAGATCACTAGCCAGGCACCCGTGGCTCCGCCGCCTCCGACCCCCTGGGCCAAGCGGCACCCCCTGCTCTGCTCCCCCTGGCCCGAAACTACAAGCTTGATGTCCTCGCACCCTGGCGCGAATGTGCAGCATAATATCTTTGCCCTCTGGGCAAAACTGCCAGCCAGATATCCTCGGCTCTGGCCCAAAACTGCCAGCCAAATATCCTCTCTCCCCCCTGGCCGTAAACTGTTTGCTGGATACCCTCCCCCCCGGCGCACAGCTGCCAGCCATATGTCCTCACCCCTTGGCCCGAAACTGACAGTCAAATATCCTAACCCTGTGGCCCAAAACTGCAGCAAGATATCCCCACCCCCTGGCGCCAAACTGCCGGCCAGATACCCGCACCTCCTGGCCACCAGCTCCCAGCAGGATGTCTTCGCCCCCTGCACCACAACAGCCAGTAATATGTCCTCCCCCCCGGTCCAGGTTAGCCAACCAAATGTCCTCGACCGCAAACACAAAAACCACCAGCCAAATACCCTCAGGCCCTGGGCCCGAACTGCCAGCCAAATATCCTCGCCCCCTGGCACAGAAATGCCAGCCAAACATTCTCATCCCCAACACGAAACTGCCGGACAAATATCATCCCCCCCCACCTGAACCTCCGCCACCATGATAGCCCGACCCATTGGCCGAACATTACCAGCCGGATGTCTTCTTCCCACTTACCCTAAACTGCCATCCAGGTATTATTACCTCCATGGCTCAAAAATGCCAGCCAAATATGATTGCCACCAGGCCACAAATTGCCAGCCAGGTATTCGTTTCCTGGCCTCAAACCGCCAGTTAGGTATCCTACCCCTCCAGGCCTAACACTGTCAGCTGGATATCCTCCCTTCTTGGGCCGATACTCCCAGCCAGACATCCTGGCCACCTGGACAACAACTCTTCGCCAATATCCTTGCCTTCTGGCCCACAACTGCCGGCCAAACATACTCAGCCGTCGTCCAGAACTGGCAACCAAATATTCCTGTTCCCCACGGATCCGACTACATTCAAACGGCCGATTAAACCAGACAGATGCCACTTGTCAACTGAACGTTGCCAATTCCTGCTGACAATTCATCTTGCGAACATCGAAGGCGGTGGCTGCAATTGTAATCATCTTCCCCCTCCTGCCCCTCGCGCCCCCCCTCCCCCGCTTCGTCCCGCACTCCCCAAGTCCTCCTCATTCTGCTGCTCAATCCTGCTCATCCTCTTCCTCGCCCCTCTTCCTCCTGGTCCTCTGTTTCCTCGTCCTCCTCACTCGTCCTCGTCCTGTAGCTCCTCATCATCCACCTCCAGCCCTCTCTGCTTCTTCCCTTCCGCGCTCGTCCCGCCATCCTACCGTTCCGCCCCCTCCACCAGCGCTAGCGCTCAGCCTCGCCCCCCCCTCGTCCTATCGGGGCGAACGTTTCCTACAGGCTCCGGCACGCGACTCCGCAGATACGGAGATGTGCTGCTTCGAACGACCACTGCAATCACGAGACCGAGTTCGGTCGAGGACTCCTGAAGGCCTCTTTGCACTCCACCAGTCTCGCTCCTCCTCCTCCTCCTCCTCCCCCGGGACGCTCCGTGCCGCCTCGGTGTGGTGCAGGCTTGGGCAGCTAGTTATCCGGAGTGCAATTTCAAGCCACCTAATCTTGTAGCAAGTGCCCCACCAGGGTTTTGAAAAACATTGTACACGGGGCTGCATTCCGCACGTGATCTTGTCCTTCACGGTGGTTAGAAGTTCAGTGTTGTGGCGCGTGCGGGGTGCATTCCTCCCGCCAAGTCAAAGGACTCGGAAGCGAGTGAGAACGTCGACCCACCAAGACTCGACGTGAACATATGCAGAGGAGTTTGAGATGAGTTCGTGCCGAAGGTTGTGTCGTTGTCGGGGCAGCATGCTAGAGACATTATATGTCCTTCATCCATATCTCCGCTTCAAGAACTGCCCAATCACATGACTTGTTCGTCCCCCCTCATCTTCTGTCGTTCTCTGTCGTCCTCCTCCCTCCTCCTGCGTTTGCGCCACAGCCGCCCCCCACATATTCCCATCCGTCGTCGTCGTCGTCGCCCTCCTCTCCCTCCTCGATTCTTGTGCGCGAGCCGCTGGGCGCAGGGAGGACAGCACACGCCAGCTTGCTTGAACCTTGAATCCCACTGTTTGCTCCAGGCGAAATCGGGCAGATAGGGCACGCGAGCCCTGTGAGCGGCGCAGGGCGTCCCCTGCATACTTCCAGGAGACGAGAGCACTGCAAGTGAATGCAACAATTATCCTCTGCTGGCTGCTCTGGGGCCGTGCCAGGGATCCAGTCCGGCGGTCTCCTTCCCCTCTTCTCCCTCTTTTTTCGCCTCCTCCGCCTGCCCCACCTGCGCCCCCTCCTCACACTACTGCTTCTCCTGCTCAGCCTGCTCCTGCTTCCCCTCTGCAATCCAAACTCAAAGCAAATGCCAAGGATCTTGCCAGAGCCAGGCAGCTGTATGGGCCGACGACAGAAGCACGGATGACCGATAAGGCATATGTTGACTCACTTGCGAGAACAATAGACCCAACCAATGAATTTGACCTCGCCGCGTGGACGGCAAACGCGCTGTTGGCTCCTGCCCGGCCGTGTCCCAGATCTGGAGCTTGATCTGCTTGTTGTCAATCGTTATCAAGCGAGCACCTGCGTCCGCTGAAATCACGGTTTGCGCAGTGAGCCGCACATGTCCAGCAGGGGCAACATGACATCAAACACGAGTGTGGTCCCGCAACTCTCGTCTTCTCACAGCAGAGCGGTGGTGGACAGGCAGGGGCAACATGATAGGGGGGAGGAAGCCTGTCTCTTCCCGTCTCCGAGAGGCTCCGATGCTCATCGCAGCCAAAGGGTGGAGAAAACGCAGGCGCTCGGGCGAAAGAACCTCCCTCCCACTCCCCTTCATCCTTCCGCTTTCCCTTAATCGTTCCCAGCGCCGGATACCCTTCCCCCCGCACGCGAAGCGCGTCCGCGGCGGCGCCAGAAGCGCGGCCAGGGAGCATCCAGCGCCGACCAAAGAAACCCGCACGGACCTGTGACGATTTGGCTCTCCCCTTTTCCATTCAAGGGGGCCCGAAAGAGGCCGCACGCGCACAACCCAGCACAAGAGCATGCCTCCCGGCGAAGCCGCCCTCCTGTCACGGCCGCTCGAGCCATGTTCTCTCTCGAGGCCCATGCGACTTGATGACCTCCACCTCCCTCACACACGGGCCGCTTTTGGACGGCACGCCCGCAGCGCCATCCGCGCCGTGCAGCCGCTGCTGCGGGCGAACGTCAGTCCAGCAGCAGCAACTCCCGCAGCGTGGAGTACAAGATCTTGCCGGCCGGGGACGTGGGAAGCCGGTCCACCTGAGCGAGCGAGCGCGCGGCGAGCGGCTCTGGTGCTCACATGGATGTGCCAGTGCCCATTCTAGGCAGGTCGCGCGAGGCCGTAGTGAGGAATAAGGGAAGGGCTACTCCTCATCGTCATGCTTCTCCTCACTCCTCCGTTGTCCCGTTGCTGCTCATTCTTTTCCGCGTTGTCGTCGTCAACTGCTTCGTCGTCGTCCTCCTCATCCTACTCCTCATATCATTCCTCCTGCCGCTGCTGCTGCTGCACATCCTTTTCTCTCCCGCCCGTCTCAACAATCCACTTTCTGACAGCTGGGCGGCATGCACTAATTACTAAATTGAGGTCAACGCTTGAAGATCGAAGCGAGATCCCACATGAGCCGAGCGGACCAGCCCAAACAACACATTACCAGAGCAGACCAGAGACGGCAAGAAAACACAAGACCAGAAAGGGGTGCGGCATTGCACACTGGATGGGCTGCACGGGACCCGGGACACGCATCATCCTCCTGTCGTGCCCAGCCCGACTCTTCCTGATGCTGCTCTGCTGTTGCTCGTCATCCCTCTCTGCAGAACTTTAGTCAAGACAACGGCCACTTACGAGCGCGAAGCCAACTCACAATCCACGAACCTCACTGCTCCCCATCCATCGTCGTTCTCGTGCAACTACATCACATCGTCATCTACATTGTCTTTGCCTCGACATGTTCACAATGCTACGAATCGCTGCAATAAAATTGACAACAACTACAAACGTGATTGCAATTCCGTCGGGTCAGAATCATTCTCCCGTGGGGTAGATTCATTCGCGCCCGTCGACGTCGACCGTCTGCGAAAATCATCCTCATCGCAGTCACTATCGCTCTTATGGTAAACGCCCGCTTGTGGCAAACATTCCCTCTCCTTCTTCCTCTTCCCGTAAAATGCACCAAACCACCCGTAGCAGCTTGTCGGGCTGTAGCCAACCATCTAGCCTGTGAGCCGGGCGGCAACGCGGCACTGTCGCGTTCGGGCTGGTCACTTTTGGACTGCAGGTTCTAACATCGCCACGCGGGTGCTAGAAGCATGGAATGACACAGCTGGACACCACATCGCTGATACTCTGAACGCCACTACTCGCTGAACAAGATCGTCACACCGTCTGGTTCAGAATACCGTCTGGCGCAAGGAACTTCAGAAGAAATCATCGTCGGGCAAATGTCTGCGTGCTCAGGTAATCATGCCGCCGCTCGTCCGCGCTGTGTGCCGCACAGCCGCGCTCATGAGCGCACGAACACGGGCGATACCCCCTCACGCGGTCTTTCACCACTGTGCAACGCTCCAGGCCCCCGACGTCGTGTCAACCCATGGAGCTCTAATGCCTTACCCCGCTTCGGTGGGTTGCTCCCTTTTCGTGACCCCCCCTCTGGCATGCTCAGGCCAACTACGGTCGCTCGGGTGTGTGTGTGTGTGTGTGTGTGTGTATGTGTGTGTGCTTATGTCAGGACCCGCAGGCGGGACCTCCTGAGACAAAAACTAACAGCACACCGGTCCCAAGCGCGGCTGCCAAACATCGGCCTGGAATGCTTGTGGAGTGGTGGGAGGGGGGGGAGGGGCCAAACGAGGCGGGCGCGTCGCTGGATTACCCAATAGCAGGGGGGGGGTCCGGGACCCCCTCCGTTTCCCCTATCCGTCGTCGGCGAACCCCCCACCCCCACCCCCTTCCCGCTCCATCGTCGGCGGACCCCCCCTCCTTTCCCGATCCGTCGCCGGCGGACCCCCCCCCGCACTTTTTTCAAGGGGGAGGGGGGGCGGACCCCCCCCCGTCCTTTTTGACTGTGAAATTCGGACCTCCCATTCTTTTCCTTTCGCCACGCCGCCCCCTGGCCCCGGAAACCGATCCCTACCACACCTATCCCTCGACCTAATCTCTGCCCTAACCCATAACCCGGAACCCAACCCCCCGCTCCTAACCCTGAGGCCCTACTCTACCCTAGCCTGGACTTCCATCATTACTTCGTATGGTTACGCCCCCACATCCCCACCAAACCGGCCGATAGCAACCCCGCCGTTTTAACTGCCAAAGAACAGCACACACTCAACGCTCTTTCTCGCCGACGTGTGGCCGAATGCGAAAAGTGTAACAAAAAACAAGTAATGAACAACGCTTGGGAGGCCCAAGCGGGTGGTCGCGTCCTACCCATCCAAAAATAAAACAAAGTCACCGCTTTCCTCGTGAACATGGACTTTCTTGTCGTCGACGCTGCGAAACGCGTAGCACGAATGGGACGCAGCGCGCATCGCGCGCGGATTGGGTTCGGTTGGTCGGGGTTCGGTTGGCCAAAACGGGCCCAAACGTTGCCAAGAAGCCGCCAAGACGGGCCACAACGTTTCTGGATCGCCAAAAAATCCATCCAAGACGCCGAACATGAACCCAAGACAGCCCAGGAGGCCGCCAAGACGCCTCCAGAGGCCCCCAAGAGGTCCCCCAAAAGGGCCCCGAGCGGCCAAAATCCTTGGGAAAACTTGCATTTTTAGCATGTTCGCCTCTTGGGCCGTCACAGTGTCCACAACGGCTCAAGGGGCCCTCAAAAAGGCTCCAAGACGGCCTAAGAAGGGCTTACGCAAGCCCAGGATGCCCCCAAGACGGCGCAAGAGGGACCCAGGACGGGCCCAAGAGGCGCCCAAAAAGGCTCCAAGACGGCCCAAGAAGGGCCCAAGACGACCGGGAGGCCCCCAGGAGGCCCCAAGACGCCCCCAAGAGGCCCCAAGAGGCCCCAACTCGCCCCCAAGGACCCCCCCAAAGGGGTGTGGCCGGGGTGGGTATGCCGGGAAAGGAAAGGAGGGGGCAGGGAGGGAAGAACAACATTTTTAACCTACCATTTAATTGACTCGTCCCGCCCGCCACCTTGGGGAACCCCTTTTCTTATTGATTTCCCCATCCCGAGTACGTTCGGGAGGGTATCCGAGACCTTCCCCAGATCGGACGGGACCCGTCCCGGGACCCTCCCCGGGACCCTCCTCGAGACCGTCCCGGGACCCTCCCCAAGACCCTCCACCGGAACTCCTCCCCGGAACCCCCGGGCACCTCCCCGGAATGGAACGCGCTTTTGGATGTCCCGAGCGGTCCCGGGCGCTCCCGGCCCGTCCCGGCCGTCCCGGGCGGGGTCATGCGCGGTGCCAGACGCGGTGACGGGCAATCCCGAGAGCGATCCTGGACAGTCCCGGGCGCCACATCTTAATCACAATCACAACCACCATCACAATCACCAGCATCATCATCAGCATCCGCATCAACATCCCCATCACCATCCGCATGATCGGCATCATGGTCACTGTCGTGATCAAAATCATCATCCTCCTCATCATCATCATCAGCGGCATCATCGTCATCAGCATCATCATCAACATCAGCATCAGCATCAACATCATCAGCATCGCCACCACCACCACCACCGTCATCATCACCATCATCATCATCATCGTCGTCATCGTAATCATCATCATCACTATCATCATCATCCGCATCATCATCACCAGCATCATCGTCATCATCATCATCACCATCGTCATCGTCATCGTCGTCATCGTCGTCATCGTCATCATCATCGTCATCACAACCAACATCATCAGCAACATCATCATCATCATCGTCATCAACATCATCGTCATCATCATCATCATCATCCGGAGCGCCCCGGATCGGCGGCACTGGCCGGAGGCCATTTCAATAAAACAAAGTCACCGTTTTCCTCGTGAACATTGACTTTCTTGTCGCCGACGCTGCGAAACGCGTAGCACGAATGGGACGCAGCGCACATCGCGCGCGGATGCATGGCCCACCCTACGCGGGACCCCCCGTCCTACCTGTCCAAAAACACAGCCACGTCGACGTTTTTCTTGCCAACATGTACTTTGTCCTCGTCGGCGCTGCGAATCGCGCAGCGGGAATGGGACGCGGCGCGCATCGCGCGGGGACGCCTGCTCGTCAACATGGACATTCTTGTCGTCGACGCTGCGACCCGTCGGGTTGAGGAGCTGGGCGGGCGGTAATGTCTTAATGCTTCAAGCGAACGCGGTTCAAGCAAGTGCCTCAGGAGACCCCCAAGCGGTCGGGGGGGGGGGGAAGCAGAAGAAGAAGAAGAAAAACAATAAGAAAAAAAAAAAATAAGAAAAAAAATAAGAGAAAACAACAAACTCAATATACATATATATAAAAAGAAGAAGAATAATAAGAATAATACGAAGAATAATAAGAATAAGAATAATAAGAATAAGAAAAAGAAAAAAGAATAATAAGAAGAATGCGAAAAAAACAACAACAACAACAACAACAACAACAACAACAAAAAAAAAAAAAAAAAAAAAAAAAAAAAAAAAAAAAAAAAAAAAAAAAAAAAAAAAAAAAAAAAAAAAAAAAAAAAAAAAAAAAAAAAAACGCACATGGGGGTCCTGGGGGCAACACAACTATAGATTTGCATTTGGTGTTTGGGAGAATGTGAGGGCATCGCCTACGTGTGTTGACAATGTTCCAACCCAGAAGATATATCCAAGATGCCCTCAGGCGCATGCCGGAAAGCTCCCAGGGCGCCCCGCTAATTCTCAAGAGGCATTGTCCTCTTCCTCCTCAGTTTATCCCTCCCTCCCTCTCTCCCCCCCTCCTCCTCCTCCTCCTCCTCCTCCTCCTTTTCCTCCTGCTCCTCCTGCGACTACTACTTCGCTCCCATTGGGGCGGACCGCAGCGTCTGATCATGCAAGAGAGCACGGGCCTGGTTGAATCGGAGCTGCAAGAAGTGACCCCGCCGAGCCTGACCTGACCCTGCCCGGCCCTCCCATTATGTCTGCAGCGTAAAAGGCTGCAGCGACTCGGGGACCTCTCCCTGTAACGAGGCCTCTGGTACAGCTCGAGCGAACAGAGCATCTGCCGCGAGAGCGCAACATCTTGGTGGGAGTTGGACACACTCCCCCGCCGAAATGTGGCCTGCTGCGCGGCGGCAACGGCCTCTTCCCATGAGAACATTGAGGGAATCAGAAAAGGCGCCAAGGTTGAGAGCTAGGAAAGGGGATGGATGTTGCGCCGATGAGCCGAGGGTGCACATGTCAATATACACACGAGCTGACTCTTGACAGCCTGCAGTCCCTCGGAGTGATGCGAGGAACTTTAGCTCTGGGAGCTCCCACGGGCACGCGAGAGGGGCGGGAGCGCGCGGGGGGGGGGGGGGGGGAGGGAGATGCAACAAAACACTGGTTCCTATGATAGCTGCTTGCCAACATATAAGTAGCACCGCTCGCAGGTGTGAGTTGTCGACTGTAACAAACTCCCAGTCTCTTGCATTGCAAGTTGCGAGACCCCATGGCATGAGTTTGGATATCCGTATCTTGCGGCGATTCGTGGGCTGTGCTCTATCATGGGACCAACTGTCGAGATTGAGGAACGCCACGACACCCACAACACGCCCGTCACGCAGGAGGGCAAGGAAGGTGGAGATGGCATGGCCCCATAAGAGCTGCCACTTGGTCCTATGCCTATCCTGAGAAATGTATATGCACAGGGCTGGGAAATGGGTTCCCGATGCGCGCTGCCTTGCCATGGAGAAATGCGGGGTATCCTGCGCATGTCGGGAAAAATGATATATATATATATATATATATAATGTATATATATGTATATATATAAATATGTAATATCATGCCCTGCACTGTGGTAACCTAGGCACTGGTACGACTGGATCGCTGGCCTGCACACCCCTGTACCTGACTTTGTGGACGGGGGAAGAGGGAGCTCCAAGGAGGCAGGGGGCAAAAATCCTGAAGGGGGGGCCTTGGCGATCTCTGGTTATAAACCTGAATTACGGAGCTGCTTAGATTATATCGTGTCATTGGCTTCTTCAGCTGCTAGCTCCACTGTCGCGGGCCTGCGTGTACGTGTGCACAGAAGACCTAAACACCCCGAGGAGCCGTGCCTCACGTGCCTTAGGAGCCTGAGGCGCGCGCG